TGGTCTCTCTCTCTTACCGCTCTTACGTTTTTTGTTTATTGATTTGAACGGACGGTGTAGATTTAATCTCTCTTGTAATTATTTCACCTTGGAAAAGATAAAAGTAATTTGGATGAACGGTAGAGATTAATTTACAAGAGATTCAACCGTTCGATTTTACTGTTTAGGGAAATTGGCATAAAAAACCATAAAAAAAAATAATTATATAAAATCTAACCAAAATCTATTTTTTTCTCTCTCTAATTCTTCCTATCTCTCTAGCCATTTTGTTAGATATTATATTATGTTTTTTTTGTTATTAAGCAAAATCACCCAAATATTTATTCCAAATTTTCTTTTTGCTAAACTATATTTATTTATGAGAAATTGGCTAAAATAACCTGACAAAAAATTATATTTCACTAACTAACTAAAGCATCCTAATCTAATGGCTCCTATTTTTTTACATCATACTATTTTCATTGGATTGCAAATATATTTCTTTTTTGTTATTGTTGCAAATCACCCTTTATTTATTTTCATATGGCTTTTTTTACTCATTTCATATGGCTTTTTCTTAGGGTAAATTTGGTGAATAACCAACAAAAAAAATTATAATTCAATAACTAAGAAAAAGTGTATATGTGACAAAATCTAATTCATTGGATTTTAAGAAATTACTTAGTTAATGAATTATAGTTTTTTGTTAGTTATTAATGCTAATTTCCCTTTTTCTTAACTCATTGGAATATTTAAAAAATTGAAAGCAAAGTTTATTTATTGAAACCAAGAAAACTTTAATACAAAGTTTATTTATTTGAATGTTGAAACCAAGAAAACTTTAATACAATGGTACAAAAATGGCATCAGCATCAGTCTTTTACCAAAAAAAAAAAAAATGGCATCTGTCTTTTAAAAAACTTTTAGTGATTATACTAATTTTTTTGTTGAGAACAATTTTACCCCCTGATTTACAAAAGCAAGAAAAAGTCTGCAAGTTTCTTTAGTCTTTATAACTTTTTTGTCACTAAAAAACTTTTTAATAGGTTTTCTTTATCTTATCGTGATTAAAAGTTTATTTAATTTTAAACATTCCCTAATCCTTTTGTAGTTTTTAATAATAGAGCCATGGATCTAAATTTGCTAAAGAAATGTGATGATTGTTGAAAGTATAACAGTATAGAAATGGTAATGGTAAAATATTTTTAAGACATTACTGATGAATCGCAATACTACAAAGTTGTTAATAAGTAAATAGTGTTCTAGCAACTTCTCCAAGCTAATGTTTCTTAACCATAAACAAAACCAAAAACACCAAAGCTTGTTCTTGTTCTTGTCTGTGAGAGGCTCAGACGCAACTTTGAATCACATCAATATGAATGGTCTGAATATTTATCACAAGGCGGATGCTCTGGTAAGAGCTTAACCAAACCGGACAACAGAGAATCCGATAAGCCTTTCAAACCAACGAGGTGTAGTTAGGGAAGAGATACATCAACCGGTCCAGAGTTTCAGGATTAAACTTCCGAGCAAATAGATAACACGGACGTTGCTCTCCTTTCCATAGACACGGCTTTACTGTCGTCACTTTCTGGATAGAGAATGGTTATGGATCAGTGACAGAGATTCCAAGAATCATGGT